GTGTAGAATACATAACAGCCTCGCTGTGGAGTTGGCTGTTGGCATCTCATCTTTATCCTAGCTCCTATTAGTGAACATTTGTATGTGTGCTCTTTGGTGCTGTTTCAGAGACGTACACTCTTCAAAAAGTCACCAGGTTTGGCTCACTGCGATGTACTTAACCTCGTAGAACAACAAACATATTTATCCTTAAGATTTGGTAAATACAAACCGTCATTTCGAGCTATTTTGCAAAACCCTATGGAAAATGCATTGCTTTTAGACGCAGGAGCCGAAGTGCTAAACATACACTTCCGGTTCATTCCTAATTAAAAGGTAATGACAATCTTTTTAGTAAGCAAAGCTAAACATCTATATCCCATAATTGCAGTCCAAGTGCGCGTTCGTGTGTGTTGGGCATGAACTCTGTAAGGCTAGTGGTAATTTCTTCTTCGTTGTGTATTTTCTAATCCTAGCGAACTAGAGCTGGCTTCCCAAAATGACTACCAATCACTATTATTGAAAGAAAATTGGTGTCAAATATGACAAGTGGCGTTGATTTGTCCACAGACAGGGTGATTCACTTTCGTTTTCTTACATTTTAACCTGCATGCTATACGTTTGGCTGCTATGACACTCGTAGGCGTGGAGAGGCTAATCCTTCAGGTATGTGTCTGTTGTTACATTGTAACTTGTTACACGCGAATGTTGCTGTAGAGACATTAGTCAGTTGGTACTGCTTGGAGGCCAAGACACAGCACAATGTTGGAGCTGTGGTTATTGGACAGTTGAGTGTTACATATTACAAGCATACAGTCAAGAAGCAAGTGCTAAAAAGGAGTCTCATGGTGGTGGATGAGGCCAACCACTTCAATAAGCTGTATTTTGTTCCGTTTTTATAGTTAAGGTCGTGCACTTGGTTTTAGGCTATGTATAAGTAGGGATCTGTTGAAGGCAAGGACACAGCCCAGTCGCGAATCCACAATCTGAGGATATCGTAGTGAGTGTTAAACGACAGTGTGAGGCTGTTTTAAAAAAGTGCATTTTTCCGAGGAAAAGGCCTGAGGAGTTTGAAGCTTTCAGCTGGTTACCTTTTTTTCTGTTTTCAACAAGACATCTTGCGTGTGGATTACAGACGAGAAAAAGCGCGACATTCGTGCGTCAATATACGATATTCTTCTGCATTGTGTTTGGGATAGCGTCCCATTTTTGGTCCCATAATAATCAATATATAATAATACATGCATTTATTTTATAAGGGCGCCTTCAAGCGCACTCAAGGTCACCCGTACAACAAGGTTAAAAACAGTTTTTTTTACAAACATAGTTAAAAGCCAAAACACAGTTTAAAAACATAACTACGTAAAAAACTACAGCTTCGCAGCACAGGTCAGCCATACGCTTGCCTGAACAGGTGGGTTTTGAGGTGAGTTTGGAAAGTGAGTGATAGTGTCATGTTTCTAATATCAGAGGGGGAGGGTAGTTCCAGAGGTGAGGGCAGAGCGGCTGAAAGGCTCTGACCCCATGGTGGGAGGAGACGGGCTGGGAAAACCTTTGAGAGTGGATGAGGAGCACGAACTAAAGAGACCCGGGCGTGGGAATGTTGACATGCACAAGGTTCAGACAGGGTATGGGGGGGGCGGTTATGAAGTGGCTTTTGAATAGTATGAACAGAGGATTTTGTAGTCAATGCGGTGTTTAATGGGAAGCAGTGGACGTTGGTGTAGTACAGGGGTGATGTGACTGATGACAGGGGTTCTGGTGATGATACGGGGCAGCAGCGTTTTGGACCAGTTGCGAGGTTTGTGTAGGTGTTTGTGGGGGAGACCATAGAGAAGGGAATTGCAATAGTCCCAAGCGCAGGAGGTGACGAGAGAGTGGACCAGGTAGCGGCACTG